CGTATCCTCTATTAAAATTATCTCATTACTATTCTTAGTAACCTTATTTTAATTAATATAGAAATAATAGCCTTATCGATTACGAAGAATACTATTTCTCTCTCTCCCGTAACCGCCTTATTAATCGAAGAATTCTACTTTAATTCTCTTTCTTAATACTAGCTTACGACTCAAATTATCGAGTTTTATATCTACTATCCTCGCCTTATTAAGTTATTTAAAACTTCGATATTAAATAAAATTATAATTATAATAAGAAACTTACTATTCTAATTAAATTATATACTAGTAAAAAAAAGTATAATAAAAGTTCTATCGAAAGTCTTAGCTATAAATTTATAATTTTTATAAATCTTTATAAGAGAGTTAAGATTTCTTAGTAGATTCTTTAAATAGTATTTTTAATTATACTAAAATCTATAATATTAAAGTATTATTACTCTAATTATTAAGAAATTAGTCTTATTATTTAATAACTCTTTAATTAATTTTAGAGCTATTTCGAGAGAGAAGAATATTATTACTCTTATACTTTATAAGTAAAATAGTATTAGTTTAAGAGACTTACTTCGAGCTAGTCTCTAAAAAGAATAAAGAAATTATCTTTAATAAGATAATTTAATAACTTCGTTAAATTTAAAGAGAGTTAAATTACGAATTTTAGTTAGATATAGTACTTCGAAATAAGATAATTATCTTTTATAGTAATATCTCTATATATAGTATTATAATTCTATAATAGATAATTATAATTACGAGGCTAATTAATAATATCTATACTATAATCGAGAATTATAAAGAGATTATAAAGACTAAGAGATTCGAGTTATTTAGATCTATAATATACTTTACTAATTAAAAGTATTATATTAATTAATCTTTAAATTAAAGTAATTAAGTAATTATAGTAGATTATTCTCGATAGATAAATAGCTTTTAGAAAAAGTAATACTTTATCTATAAGAAGATAGACTACTAATTAACTAAGTATATTAATAAAAAACGCTAAAAGTCTTAAAATAAGTTCGCTAAGCGGTTTATCGACTTTATTAATAAACGATATAACTTTTATATTTAAGAGTTTAAAGATTAAAAGAATAAGATCGAGGATCTTAAGATCTTAACTCTCGATATTTAAGATAATAACTTAAAAGAAGATTAAAAACTTTATTATAATTACTTTTATAGTTATATTAAATTAAGTTTAAATATATTATTTAAAGCTTTTTAGCTATTTTATATATTATAATATTATTAAGTCTAATAGCTTTCTTAATATTAGTTAATATATCTTTAAAAGTAGTTTTATAATATTATATTAGATATCGAAGTTATATATATATTTACTTACTAGATATAATTAAGTAAAAGTCTATATAAGAGAATTTAATATATAATTAAATATTACTATTAATAGTATTATTATCTAATTTAAAATTAAAATAATAGTGTTAATTAAAAAACTTATAGTAAATTTGTTTATTAATCGAGTCGACTTTTACAGTAATATAGACTAATATTCTTATTTCTATTATATATTTAAGATATAAATAGATTAGAAATCTATCTAAATAATCTTAAGAATTAAATTATTTTAAGAAATAAATCTATAATTCTTAATTATTCGCTTTTATAAATATCTATTCTTAATATAGAGTTTTATATTAATTAACTATTTAATCGATATCGAGTTATATTAACTATATTATTAATTTAATTATTTCTTAATTAATAGATTTATTTAAACTCTAAAGAAAGCTAACTATAACGATTTCGAATATCGTTATATATTTAAATAAATTATTAAGTTCTATATACTCTATTAAAAGTACTCTTAATTCTCTAAATTATTTTAAATTCTTACTTAAGAATAAGAATAATATCTATTTTAATTATATAATTATTATCGATATTCTCTATATTAATAATAGTCTAATTCTATAAGTTATTAATAAGAAAACTTTATTTTAAATCGCTCGATAATTAACAAATATAACTATCTTTTATATATAAGATATACTTAGACTATACTAAATAGATATATATATTAAATCTTTAAATATTATTATTTATAACGCTAAAATTAATTTTAATAATATCGAGTTTAGATAAAACGCTAGAACTCTAAATATTTAAATAAAATATATATTAGTTAAAGTCGCTAATTCTATTAATCTAATAAAATAATATTATACTTTATTAAGACGAGTCTATTTAATAATTACTACGAAATTAAAGAATTAAGATATTAAAAAGAAGATTCGTCTATAAATAGCTATTAAGACTATTAACGATATAGTTAAATATAATAATATTATTTCTTATATTACTAATTTTTAAAATCTTTTCTCTATATTATAAATAACGATATATTAACTTTATCTACTATTAAGAGAGTAAAAGCTATTAATATAGTAATAATCTAAAGTTATAAAACTTTACGCTAAGAGATAAATTAATAACGCTCTTATATTAGCGAAATGATCTCTTAGATAATAAGAATATATAATATTTTAATTAATTTCTCGAATATTAATTTAAAGAATATATTAAAAGAAGTAAATCGAAACTATATAAATTGCTAACTACTTCTTAAGAGATATATATTATTAAATTATTAAATAATTCTACTAGATTTTCGAAATTACTATTATTAAGTTATATTTAAAAAAAATAAATATCTTAATTAAGTCTTTTAAGTTTCTTAAATAAGAATCTTTATAGTTAGATAATACTTAATACGAAAATAACGATAATTAAGATTATTAAGACTCTTTTTAAAACGCTTTACTACGTTATAACCCTTCTCGATATTAATATATTTTTACTCGTTTTCGAAACTCTATTAATATTATAATCTATATATCTAAGTTTATATTATAATTATCTTTATCGAACTTTTAGATATCTCGATAAAAAGAACTTAAATAAATTACTTAAAAAGAGTATATTTAAGATTATAAAGATCGAAGATATTCTTATAGAAGTATAAATATTTAATAATCGTTTTATAAATTAAATTAAGAATAAGAGTATTAAGAAAGTCTTTAAGAAGTCGCGATTAGTAGTATAAGTATTTAATAACTCAAAGAAGTATAGAATTCTTACTTAGGTCTTTATTATTTAACGAGACTAGTTAATAACTTATTATCGCTTTATTATTAGCTATTTTATAGCTATCTCTATATCTACGCGATATTACTTAGATATATATATAATCTTAATTTAAATTAATTAGAGATATCTTTATTTTAGCCTTAGCTAAAATAAGATTATTATCGAGAATAATACTTTATATTATTCTCTCTCTCTATAAAATTACTAAGTTCGATATCTACTAATTTTAGATATATTATAAATACTATATAAAGAAGCTAAAAATAATCTCATCTATATTCGATACTTATTTATTATTTAATAATAATATAATAGTAATTATTAACTTATAAATCTAATAACTCTCTTATTATTAATATTATCGAAGTTTATAAATATAAAATTATAAGAATTATATATCGCTAAACTATTAACTAAATTATTTAAGAGACTTACTTTAAAATAATCTCTCGAATTTAATAAATTTATTATTATTTTTAAGAATAATATAAAAATTAGCTAATATAAATAAGATAAAGAAGATTTAATTATTTTTAAAATTATTTATAAAAGAATAATATATCGTCTAGAGAGTATAAGAAGTATATATTATAACGATATTATAGTTATAAGCTATATTTATCTTATTATATATCGCTTAGATTATAAAGTCTTATTTATAATAATACTTAATATCTAAATCGCTATCTTTTATAATAAATAAAAAAAAGAGATCTTATATTTATTAAATTAGATATAATATCTCTAAGAATTATAGTTTTTATAAATTCGTTATTCGCTAATAATAAAGATCTTTCTTTTTAAATCGACTATATAATAGCTCTAGCTAACGCTTAGAATAAGATTAATATTATTTATTAATAATTAATTAAATATCATTAAGTTACTAGAAGCGTATTAGCCTTCGAACTTTATATATTATCTCTAAAATTCGATATTATAATTACTATAAAATCTACTCTAAATTAAATCTTCTCTAATACTTTTTAGAGAAAGATATCTCTTTCTATATATATAGACTCGAAATCTTTATATAAATATCTTATTAAGCTAGAAATAATATAAGAGAAAAGATTAATAATAGATATTCTATATCTAAGATAGTTATATAAATAATAAAAGATTATCGAGATTCTATAAATTAGAGAAGATAAGAATTTAGCTAATTTAATAATAAAGAATAAGAAATATAATATATTATAATATCTAGTAAATATAAATTATCTAAAATTAGATCTAGAAGACTAGATAAAAAGATAAGATATTAATATTAATTAATAGAAAGTCGTCTTAGTATAATATTATTAGAAATACGTCTAAGTATAATTAAATTTACGCTTACTATAGTAGAGAAAGTAATTACGATTATAGAGATTATAAAGAAGAAATATAATATATAAATAGTCTTATTTTCTATTTTTTACTAGTATTAAAACGACTTAACACTCGCTATTACTAGTACTTATTCGATCTAGTTATAGATATATAAAGATATAGAGGATGGCATGAGAGTCCTCGCGTCTTTCCCAAAACAATCCTCCATTCGACACTTAACGTCGAAATGCCGAATCCCACTCCCTCAAACTACCAACTGTTTAATTGGGTGTCGGCGGGTAATGTATGCATTGACACGTGTGATAGGCCGATGGGTACTTTGTGCAATTTCATCCCGCAGAATCTCAGGGGGAATCAAGCAAAATGCTTGGCTCTCAGCTGAAAAGGTACCGCCCGCTTTCGTTTCCAACCGGACAATAAGGGTGTGTCGCTATCCAATTATATGCTGACACACTGTTTGTGCACCGTCCTAATGCGACATGGAGGGGTGCAATGCATGGAAACATGCACGGAAAGAGTGGAGCACGGAGAGGGGTGCGCCGCCTGCTATGCAAATGGTGAGATCTGACATTCATTCAAATAGTTCGCTGGGTGCTGCTCGCTGCTCGCAGATTTTTTTCTCCTCTTGTTTCGTTGCTCACCAGATTGACCTTCGTCACCCACGTTCCTTACCAATCCATCTCTGCGAGTCCAGAGATAATCCACTCATTATAACTTGTACATTTTCGCTTTTTGCTCCAACATATCGACTTCTAAGCCTGGTGCCAAGTTCCGTCTTACTTGCAAAGCATTCTTTACCACCCTTCAGAAGCCTCTGCCGTCCTTCTTCAAGATGAAGACAACCTACGCATACGCGAGCATAGTCCTCGCCCTCATGAGTTCTGGCAATGTCCTCGCTCATCAACACCACCACCACTCCAGGGAGGTGGAACAGCCAACCAGCTCCCTCTCTCTCTCCGCGTCAGTAATTGCCACCACCTATCCTACCGCCTCTGCGGCTGCCAACTCCACCTCTGGGGGCAATTCCACCACGGGAGGCAGCCCCATCACGGCCGGTACCTGCAGCAACTGCGACGGCGTCTGCGTTACCTTCGGCGCCACCAACGACGACCTCTGGTACTGGTGGAACGGTGGGCCCGGCGGCGATGCCTCCACCTTCGCCAACAACCAAATTGGCACCATCTGCCTCACCGACGCCGGCGCCATGTTTGTCGGCAGCTCCAGCAACGTAGACTCGGGGGGCGGCAACACGAAATTCGAATGGTCCATCGGTGCCAGCACGTCCAATTTCGATGTCAGTGTATGCGACGGCTTCAGCGTGCCCATGTCCTGTACCGGCTTCGGCGGTAACGAGAGTCCTTATGTCACGATCGGCGGGGGCGACTTATGCACCAGCGATTGCCCAGCCGATGATCAATTTGACGGGAATTGCAGGAATTTGGGGGCACATACCGGGAATTTGGCCGCAGTGCCTAGCTGTTTTCAGGAGGGGGCTGGGGCGGAGGGAAAGAGTGGGACGAACAATTATTGGCTGTATGACAACTACTCTGTCCAGTCCATATTCACCGGCAGGACTGGTGTTGTCTGCACCGTCGGTGGATCGAGCTCCAAGACGAAGCGGGACATGAGACAGAGTGCGGCGGAGTTGGGGCCAAGGGCGAGCATGCATCGTCAGCATGGACGCCACCAGAGGCGTGCGCATGGACATGGTCTACACGCGGTGTCTTGAAGGGATAGAATTCGAGAGCTAAGCTGTGATTGTGGTGCCTATGGACATATTTCGCTTCTACTACTACTCTTCGGCTGGTTTTGGTGTATCTTGGATCACTTTGATGGGGAAGGAAATGGATATCATACATATGCTTAGATGTCACGCTCGTTATGGGATCGCAAGCCCATCTTCTTGTCGCGTTAGAATACATATCGTGATAGTGGAATGACTTCACGAGACTGGTTCATAGAACTACGGCACTCACGAAATTATAAATGATACAACATTCAGCACCGAAGAGATAAAGGAGGCATGATTGGCTTAAAGGTTTGCCGCCGACGTAGACAGAGACTAGCCTCGAGGATCTCAATTCAAGTGCCAAGAGCTTCCGCCGGCGGAATTGAAAGCAACATCAAAAGTTGATGTTGCTTAGGATTAGGTTACATCAACAACCCAATCGCATCCAATACAAACCTGACAGGCGATACTTTCGCTACGCCATGCTTACGCTTACAGATCTCTGACAGAATCCTTTTCTCAGGTATAGAAAGATTTAAGGTTCTTACCTCTTATTAGAGCGCCTCGAATCGATGTTTCATTCTAGTCTTCGCAGCATTCCCCTGAGTTACAGATCGCCAGCGTAGGCTTCATACGTCGTAGTCTCCACCATGCCTCTCGTTCTCTCTCCAGCAAGCAAAGAAGACATTCTTCGCGTCGTTGAAATCGTCTTCTCAGCCTTCGCCAACGACCCACTGCTCATGACATGCTACCTGGCAACGCCGTCAAACCACACGTGATGGCTTCAGACAATCTTGGACCAAATGCAGTACCCCTCAACCATCATCATCAAGATAGCCGCCGACGAGAATGGGGAAACATCTCATTTGCAAAATGGTTGATCCAACAGGAATCGAACGAAGGTGGTCATGGTGGAGGAGCTTCGGGTGCAGTGCAGCCCACAAATCCATCTCCAGACATGAATGTTTTAACTTGCCAGAGCCTGACAGAGGCGCAGTACAAGATGCGCACAGCACTGATGTCCACCTGTTCCCACATCTGTAAGTAAGAGTCCTCCAGTCTCAGGTCCTAGATATAGCCCTGAGCAAAGACAAACCAAGGGTAAAAAGCGTTGGCGACATTTCCAATTAATCAGCGCCGCGGGGCGGCGACAATGCTTGTGCAGCGAGGTACGCGGAAGGCGCAGCGAGAGAATCTTGAGTGTTTCAGCGCTTGCACAAGCGACGCTAAGCCTAAAATTTGTCGAAGTTTGGAGCGCGCTGGGTGGAGCATGAAGGGGTCGGAATATGTGCTGCCATGGCGGGACCCGGGCGTATTTAGGGCATGGAGGGGATCTACATGAGCGCAATTAGCCTGAGTCTTTTCGCAGACCAAATTCGGCCGGCCATTATAACTGAATATCCCAGACAGGGGAGATGATTCGCAGAGCTGTGCGTGACGGAGCTTATTCTATGACTTGTTGATACTAGAGCACGAGTTTCATTGGAACCTTCGGCGCCCAGCAGAATAGCTGATGTGTACTTGCAAAAAGTTTTAGGGCTGAGTTCTTGCATGAATCGGTTGCGCAGCGCGGCGGTGACAGTGTGTTGATTAAGCGTTAGCGCGTGAAGCGCTGAGACTTACTTCTTGTTTGCTCTGGAGCTAAACGCTTGAAGGCATAGTGAGAGACTCGCTGTCGGTTATAACCCATTCTCGCACCTCTTATCTGGCCTCAAGAGCCTTCAACACTTTCTGGATGGGACGACTTATTCATCCGGCATAGTTAACAGGTTCACTTTTCAAGAACCAACAACAGTATTTTAGCATAACGCGACGAACTTTTGTAGAAGCGAGAAAATACTATTACCGAGCGGTCTTGATAGCGTACAAGTAAGGTGAAGATTCATTCTAGAAGCTCGTGCAACAGGAACAATTTACCTTCGCAGTGCAAGCTAAATCCAATTCCTTCTCGAGCCTCTAGTAGCCTTTTTCAATTATGATTGAATTCATCAGGGTACTCCACACTTCACTCCCATTCTCACAAGGACTTTGCCTACCCATATAGCAAACTTGCTGTATGTTGCCGCTTGACCTCGTTTGCACATAGAGAATTTCCTAGCACTAGAAATTTCTGAGCGGACCTCTACCACCAATTCAGACATACTGTACAGATGACTAACAGCCCCCGTACTTCGAGTGTCTGCGTCACTGTCTTCCGGCTAAGTCTTTACTGGTAAAACATCATAACCCCCATTCCATTTTACAGCCAGTCAGCTTTGGCCACATTTAGTTTGCCTTCCCATGGTTTGATGTTTGACGATAGTTGCCAAACAGCCCTTTTCGTTCCGAGATTCTTTTTCAACAAGTTCTCTTCAGGTTCTTCAGTCAAAAATCAGCTTATCACTGCATTCACCGTCATCATGACTGACATGCTGCCTATCAAGACTGCTCAATTAAAGTTGCCTTAAAGTTAATTTTTAATCTCTATATTATTTAATTATAATTCGTTTATTAAAAACTTGAATAAGAAATAGATTAATAAAAATAATATACTTTAAAATTGTGATAAACTCGTCTATATATAAAGCGAGGTTAATAAGATTTATATTTATCGTTAGTTAACTATCTCTATTATATATTAGTTTATATTCTAAATCTCTATATTATTAATTTATTAGTTATTTCTATTTACTTTATCTTTTTAATTATTATCTATATCTCTTTAAATCTTATAATTAACTTTAATCTTATTATAGTAAAGAGAATATTAATATTATCTAAGAAGAAAAGTAATATTATATTACTTCTTTTTATATTAAGATAATAATCTTATAATAGTCTTCTTTTTTTCTTCGTTTTAAAGCGATAAATCTTAAAATATATTAAATAAATCTATTATAAAATATTCGATATTAAATATCTTAATAAACTATTTAATAGCTTTATTAATCGCCTCGCTAATGATAATAAAAAGATTAAGAAACTTAAAGAGCTTCTTTAATACTTCGAGATCTATAGTTAAATTATATATTTCTTTATCTATAAAATAATTATTCTATTTCTTTAAGAAAGCTCTATTAAATTATCGCTACTATATTTCTAATCTATTAACTATCTATATCTTTTAATCAATATATTATTTTTATAAGATCTTCGTTTATAATAGAATTTAGCTTTATTAAGATGATATCTATATATAAGAGAATATTCGATAATTATTTAGAAAATCGAATTTTAAGATAGCGACTTTTATCGATTTAATTAAAAGTTTATCTATTATATAATTTATATCTAAATTAAACTTTATCTTAGATATATTATAATATTACTTTTATATCTTCTTATTAAAATATTTAAAACTCTTAATTATTCTATTATAATTAATTTAATTATAATAAATTCTATAACGCTTAAGATTATCGCTATCTATATATATATAATATATATAATTTATTATATTCTATTATTAGCTATATTAATAAAGTCTTTATTAATATTATCTCGCTAAATATAAGATTTTCTTTTATCTCTTAATTATAATTAATATTAAGAAGTCTTAAGTCGATAGTTGAGTTATTTTTATATATACTTATCTCGCTAAGTAAGTCTCTATTAAAAAGATATAGTTTATTAAAGAAAGACGACTAAAAGAAATAGCTTAAGAATTATCTTAATTAGATATTCGCTAATATCTTACTTATAATTATCGCTCGCGATATTAAAATAGACTATTAAGATCTTAATTAATTATTATTAAATAAACTCTTATCTTAATATCGCTATAATATTTAAAATACTATTTAAAGATCTTTAAAAGTAGAAGAATAATAATTATCTAATAAGATTAGATATAAAACTCTTAAAATACTTTATTTTGTTTTTATTAGATCTTATCTTCGAAGTATAATAATAGCTAAAGAAGAATTTATAATCTTTTCTTTTTATAACTATACTTCGTTAATTACTATATTTATAAGATTTATAAAGTACTCAAGTATATTATATTAGATAATATTATCGATATTTTATTTATTTAAAATTAGAGATATAATTATAATTAAATAAGATCTTATTAATATATTTAGATATATTTCTATAGTCGAGTTAAACTTTTAACTACTAGATTTCTTTTAAAATAACTTCTATTATATTAATAGATTCTTATTATTTAATCTATATATCGCGCTCTTTTATTTTTAATCTATTCGCTAAGACCCTTTATTAAATACTTATTATTATTCTCTTTTAAAGTATTATATTTTACTATCTAAATAACTTCTTCGCTATTCTTTTATCTAATAACGATATAATTTAATTTAGTAAGAACTTTAATATTATCTATAATAACTATAATTTAAAAATAAATTATATTAAGAATAAGAAAAATATTTTTATTAAATTTTTAGAAATTTAATTTAATAGCGAGAAGATAAAGATTAGACTCTCTTTTAATAAGCTAAAATAAGTAAGAAAGTTAATAAAAGCCCTTTTAAATAGATGAAGTATTTTTTATAACGAGCTTAAGTTAGCGATAGATCTATTATTCTTCTTCGTTAAAGTAATAATCTCTAATAAAGCTTTTCTAAAAAGACTTTACTTTATATTATTTAAAAAATAAGAATATTATTATATTATCGCTATAATTATAGCGAATCTACGCTAATAAAATATCTTTCTATTTAGATAAAATAAGATATATCTACTTCGTTAGTATAGTCTATATATTATTATTATTTTATATAAATAAATACTTCTAATAAGCTATAAAATAAGAGAGTATATTCTCGAGAATATCGCTATTTATTCTAAACTAGACGATATATTTAATATATACTTCGCTATTCGCTATTATAAGAAGAATATTTAATTTAAAGAGATATTTATTATTTTTATAATTATTTATAGATAGCTATCTCGCTTATATTAATTATATCTTATACTCTATTATAATAATAACGTTATTATTAAGAGTATTTATAATAGTTCTATATATAAGTTAACTATAATATTACTTAGATAAATAATTATATTATTCGCTTAATATAATATTATTTATAATATAATTTAAATTTCTATTAAGTAAAATACTTTAGTTAACTTACTCTCTTACTTTTAAATTTAATAAAATTACTAATTTATATTTATAGCTAAGCGCTCTTAATCTATATAGAAATTATTAAATTATAATTTATCTAAATTATAATATAAGAAGACTTCTCTAAATTATAATATTATGAGATATCTCTAATAAGATCTAGTTAATAAAATAAGAAGTAGTTATTAAACGACGAAGGCCTTCTATATCGAATTTTATATCTCTATTAAGAATTATCGCGTTTTTTTTTATTATTTAATTATTTATTAACTAAATAGTATATCTAATTAATTATTATATTTAGATTAAATTTATTAAGATCTATCTTATAGATATTCGATTAGCCTATATAAATATAAAATTTAAGAATCTTAAGATCTTTTATTATTTACTATTATAGCGAGTAATTATTAATATTTATAGACTATATAACGAGATCGATATTAAAGAATATCGTTTAATTATATAAGATCTATTACTTTATATTCTTATCTAATTTAATAAAACTTTCTTAGAAAAAGCTATCTTATATACTTTCTTTTATCTTATATTTACTATATTTCTTTATATAGACGAATTTATATAATTTTAAACTAAATTTAAGAATAGCGATTTCGAATAATAATATATTATAAGATATTTAATTACGCTTTATAGTTATTATATAAAACTATTTCTATTAATCTTAAAGATAAATTTATTTAAAAGAGAAATTACTCTATTTATTATCGCTATAAATAATAATATCTACTCTTATTTATTCGCTATAAAACTTATTTACTCGCTTTTCTATTAATAAATTATTATCGCTATTTAATTTAAATAAGATCTTTATAAGATAATATATTATCGCTATATTATATAATACTCTATATATACTTAATTACTCTAAGTTATTACTTAAAATACTCTTTTTATAAAAGAAATCGCTATCTTCGAGAAAAATATCGATTTAATTAATAATAAGATTTAACTACTTAATCGTTAAAAAGTCTAACTTATATTATCTATATATCGAAATATATTTAATTTATATTCTCGTTATATTATATTATCTTTAATATTCTTATTTAATTTAAAGCTAATAGTTTTCTATTAGATATAAATTTATTTTAAAGATTTTTCTAAAATTAAGCTATATAGTAAATCGCTATCTATATATAATTAAATCTTAAAATCTAATTAATTATTATTTAGATAAGTCGGCAGCGTAGCCTTGATGCTTGGGCAAAAGCTGAACAATCGACCCGTCTTTTGCGTACTTCATTTGCTCATGCCTTCCATCGGACATGAGTGTTCCCCCGGCTCACACTCCTCACAGGTTCTTACAACACACAGTCGGCACGAGGGTCTGACATCAGCTTCGACCGCTTGTCCACATCTTGAACAAAAGCCCAATTGCACACCTTGACTGGTCAGATATGCCGAGACATCTCGGCGATGAGGGATGCTGCCAGGACCAAAAACCTTAGTGCTAAGTTCCCTCTCTGATGTCATGACCACATCCATCATGGGGAACCAGCGAACATACTTGCCTGCGTTTGCTCCCATAATGGGTGATGTGATGCGAGCTTGGTCTTGAACTCGCAGATATATAAGGCTATTTGACCCGCCTATTAAGGAAGATTTGATGCCCTCTGATTCGATTAGGTTGCGAAGTATACGGCCAATTTCACGAGCACACTGTGGCCACTGTTCCTTTTCCGCTAGCACAATCGTTCCCCATGAGGTGAGCAGGCTCGCCGCAGGTGCCATCTCCGTAAGCCGCTCTTGCCATTGAAGCGCTATAAACAGGCGTTCTTCTGGATCGGTAACTTCCAGTTTTTTCATGTTGACGCCTCGCCAGTCGACGGCAATGCCGTTTGTTCTCACAGCCTTTCCAAACAGAACAAGGTCAGGGACCCCATGCTTTTGGAATTGTGGTAGCTGATAAGCGAACGGTGCGCCGCAACGAATTGCGGTCAACGCTTCATCGACGACTAGTACCAGATTATTCTTTTCGCAAGCTCTCAACAGGTGTCTCCATGCTGATTGACTGATAACCACTCCGTCACGAGCGCGAACGATCTCTGCTATTAGTGCCACACATCCCGTTCGCTTAGCTTTTCTCACCTGGTCATCGATATTAGCTGCGTTGTGGGTCTTTATGACAATAGGATTTCTCCCGTTTGCCAGGGGTCTGACGAATTCCAGTACTGAGTTGTGTGCCAGAGGCCCGTATCCTGCTCCATAAGACCCCTCTAGGATTGCGACACAAGGGTTGGCTTTGTCTGCTTCCTCGAGAAAAGGACTGCTCCCATTTGTGGAGCCACGAGAGGCAAGATGGGATATCAGACTCGTCAAGAGCGCAGGGCTAGACGCGTCACTTACGTGGCCGTGCAGGCTGATTGGTTCCGCCGTGAAGAAACGCCGAAACGCGTCGCGATACCGGTCACCAATGTCGTGGATATGATGCTGAAGCATGGTTGGAGACTTGTTCAGAAGAGTCCAGTACCTACCAACGTCTTGGTCAACACTATCCAAGACTGGATTTTTGTGACTTAGAAACAATCCAAAGGAATGATGAAAATCGAGATCAGGAAACTCCTCTGGACGACACTCTCTGCGAGTAGTACCCACGTCATCCTCGCCGGAACAGGGGCTGCAGTGCTCAGCAAAGTTGGCTTGCTCTTCAGGCTGGAACTCGCCTTCGTTGCAATGACGATCGCAGTAGGGACATTTGTGCTGGCTCGAGCGAAGATTATAGGATCCCTGATTATTCTTCCGTCGCAAAGTGGTCCTCTGGAGGCTGCTGGAACAACGTCGCTCTGTATTCGGGTGCTGTTCTACTACCAAGCGATTGGAGGTTCCGCGGGCCTGCCGCGTACGTTGGTGAGGCTTTCGAGAGTGTCGTTTTACGAGAGACATTCCGCTTATAGGTTGTAGGTGCTTGTCTCCAATCGTTCTCGCAGTTATCTAATTGTTCAGAAAGGATCGTACTCACTTTTGTTCCCCGCTCCATAATTAGCTATCCCACGAGATCAGCGCCGCTGCTTTTCCTTTTGTCCGTATCGTTGGCTAGGACAATGGAAAGTCGCGAGTAATTAATGCCAATAGCTTTTTCCGCAGTCTCAATCCTAAATTTGAAGCTGTTCGCATTGTCAACCTCCGCCAAACAACAAAGAGGACTTTCACCGATCTATTTAAAGACATAGATAGAACATGGGAAAACCACCCGAGTAGGAAAACCGACGTAATGAATACATCGCTCAAAACATCGCTCAAGGTTCTTCTGTAGATCTTACCTGAATTTCAAGAAAGTCGAGGGCTGTAGAATTGAAGACTAATTTTTTTTTTTTGGGGGTTTTTTTTTTTTTTGGGGGGGGGGGGGGGTTTTGGGTTTGGGTTGGTTGGTTTTTTTTTGTTTTTTTTTTTTGTTTTTTTTTTTTTTTTTAGCTACTCAAAATGTAATCCTTCACATTTTGGCAACTTATTCCTACGTCAATTTCCAGCCAGCGCTTAGTGCCAAGCATTCCTATGTACTCAGGATTCGAAGGGTTCGCACCGCTATCGATGACATATACAGTAACACCCTCTCCTGCAGCCGAGGAGTACGCATAGTAGGGCACCACATTACCGCCGAGGTCGTCCTCGTCTCCACGAAGGTCAAGACCGACACCTTTGGGCTGTGATACAAATCTGAGCTCGGGCGGTGCGGACTCTTGTTTCCCGTCCACATCTTCACGTTTCGCAAGATCATGCTCAAAGATACCCTGATCTCTATTTCTAGCTCGTCGATGTAAGGATGATAATAACGTTCCGGCAGGAGGATCATCCCATATCGTTTGCGCTACGTCGGCCACAACAGACTCAACCTGTAAGATAAAGTTATTGTTAGCTGTATCTCTATAGACAGATCTGCAGCGAGTACCCCGACACATGGAATGATTGCGTCGATCTCATCATGTCCCGTAGTAGACTAGTATCGCGAGCAGCTCTGTGTTTAGTATCCATGCATGCATGCTATAAGTACTTCATGGACAAGGATTCTCCATGAAATACTTACATACCTTGGGATTTAGTGTCTGGAGGTCTGAGGCGAATATTTCGCTCGAGTATGCAACATACATGACTTGGTCACCAGCGTCATTTAGAGAAATTGGTAATACATTGCCGGCCCCTAGTTCATCTGTGAAGTATTCCGTGAGGGCAGTCAACTCGCTAGAAGTTATGCCAGCCGTAGGGAAGATCATGTATTCGCGTGATGAACCACCGGACGTACTAGGAGTAGTATCTGAGATGGTACTCGAACCTAAAGAGGAAATTGAGGTCGGCATAATGGTTAAGGTGGTAGGTTCCTGGGACTTTTTCTCCTCCGATGTTGGAAGGGAGCAAATATTGTCATCTTCACAGACTTTACTGTCACCACCTTCGCCATCAGCGCTTTCCTCGGTAGGTATACCATCCAGTCCAATGATGAAAGGAGGCAGCGGGGCAAAGTCGAACTCGGACCCACATCCGAATACTGAGCCGAAGATTGAACCGGATCCGCATCCCGTGCGTCTGGGATCTGCTTGTGCGCCTCCTAAAACAGCAATGACAATACCATGGTGAAGACCCCCGCAAACTTTGCAGCCGACCAAGACAGGGCGGATGGTACCCTCTATTAAGGTCGTGGTGTCTGTAGTCCAGTCACTATTCGACGCTGTTGAGGTGAAGTACGCCGATGGGGGAGATGTAATGGTTGTCGTTATCGGCATGCTGTAAATATCTGAGGCACTAGCACCTGTCGATGTAGTTGAAAGCCACGCAGTAGTGTGCGTAGAGAAAGAAGCTTGGCTTGTTACACCCGAAGCCAAGTTGGGTGATAAAGTAGCAGATGTATTCAAGGCGCTCGGTGCCGCTGCAGTGCTAAGCGCAGCCAAAGGCGAGAAAAGAGAAGATCTTGAGAGTAATGTTGAGAAGGACTTCAGTGCCTGTGAAGTATTCCAGGCGTGTCGCCTGAACGGGAAAAGAAGGACCAATTGGAGATGACAATTGGAGAATACCACTCCGGGCACTCTGGGCAACCCAAGAGCTTCCGGATCCCGAGACGGATGGTCCATGGATAGAGGATGTTTCACCTGCAATGGTTGTGGAGTGTCTAGCAGTACTATTTGAAGGGCTGTGTGAAATTACAATCTTGACAGATGAGGTAGTTTTGTAGGCCAAATGGGAAGTAGCGGCAACTTCCATCGCTCTCCCCTGGAACGTCAACGAGTAATTCCACGATGAAGCCGTGGGCGGTAGACTGGACGCCGCCGGCCATTTCGTAGCGGAGGAGATTCCAGAGGCGCGACTTGGTACTCTCTGTAGCGGGTAATGCTTGTCAGTGGAGCTCTCTTTGAAAAAATCAGCATTTTGCGACTCGACCATCTAAAAGGCCACTTACTAGTCGTGTGGCAAGACTAGCCTTGAGATTGGTCAAGTTGACTGCATTGGATGTATATTCATGACCCGCAATCGTCGTTATGCTTCGACCTGGAACATCAATATCAGCAAAGATTCCTTTCATTGGTGAGCTATCTGGGCGATATACTGTTTCTATGACTGTCTCTGGCAACGTTCTCCAAATTATGAGAGGCCGCTGATATACCGCTTGAAATCTTTTGGGGTTCATCTCTCCTGAATCTACCCTCAGGATGGTCATTGTAGATCGCATAAACCAGAGCAGGCGCCAGATACAGCAAAGATCGCAGAAAAAACATGAGTGATAAGAAAGAAGCAACCAAGAAAGGTCGAACAGTATGTGAGAGATGGCAACAGCAAATGTGACACCCATACCTATTGCTTTATATATGACTATTCGTAGTTTAATAATAACACTAAGATACTAAATTAATACAGCGAGCTGACCAGAACTGAGTGCAGTCCACTGCTCTTCAACCCAGACGGTAGAAACCTAGCCATACAAAACAACAGTAGCTTGTCCCCACTCCCTTGAGCGTTGTATCACTATCCTTAGCGATCCCGGATTTGGTCGCACGGCTCGTAGAACCATTAGAGAAAAGCTGGACAGTCCTGGAATTCGTCTAGTACTCTCGGGCAATTAGCCATTGGTCCTGTTCAGACAGCAGAGGTGCCGCTACAGGCGTGTTAATGCGCATTGAACAGTGGCGCGACCATAATGCATTCACATTTTCAATCGCCTTCTGTCTTGTCCAAAAGACTGCATGATTGACACTGACAGAACACAGAAAATTTTTTTTTTTTTTGGTTTTTGTTTTTTTTTTTTTTTTTTTTTTTTTTTTTTTTTTTTTTTTTTTTTTTTTTTTTTTTTTTTTTTTTTTAAAAAAAAAAAGGAGTTTTAATTTTTTTTATTTTATTTTTTTTTAAAAAAAAATTTTCTTTTATTTGAAAAAATTATTTTTTTTTTTTTTTTTTTTATTTTTTTTAATTTTTTTTTAAAATAAATTTATAAAAAAATTTATTTTTTTTTATTTTTTTTTTTTTTTTTTTTTTTTTTTTATTAAATATTTTTTTTTTTTTTTTTTTTTTATTTTTTTTTATATTATTTTTTTTTTTTTTTTTTTTTTTTTTTAAAAAAAATTTTAATTAAAAAAAAAAAAAAATATTTTTTTTTTTTTTAATTTTATATTATATATTTTTTTTTTTTAAATATAAAAAATAGGTTGAAAAAAACGCTTTTTTAATCGTATTACTGCCTCTTATAATACTCGATCTTCGATTAAGATCTTAATATTATAAATAACGTCTAATTTAAATAAAATATTTATCTTATAAAGAATAAGATTCGCTATCTTATATTACTTCTTAAGCTCGAATTTATTTAATATTATTATCATTTTTAAATATCCTCTAAAAGTCGTCTTATATATTATCTACTATAAACTCTTATAATCTAATTACTATTTTAATATAATATATAAATTTTAGTAATCTTAAATCTAAATTTGTTACGAGCGTACCCTTGACACACCACTCAGCCCTATGGCGAGGCATACCCTAAGAATCCCCTACCATATGCCTTCCCCTTCCCACATACATAGTTCGGTAGCCTTATTATCCTAGTTCTACCTCACCCATACTGGTATCGCACCTATGCTGGTCATGACATTATCAATAAGGCTCCTTCGACCCCCCGGCGAAAGAATTGACGTTTTCCTTTCCTTTCGGAGCAAGCGACCGAGCCTGATAAAAACACTGGGTATTTTTTTCATATAGAAACCCCCCCACACATCCAAACCATCAGATACCTACATCATTCGAAAGAGCCTACATCATTACAACGTACATCATCAACGGTAGCCCAATCCATCAAAAAACGACTCCCCTACATCGAATACAAGAAATCCTTCTCTCCGCTCCGTTCCCCCAAAAAGTTTATCATCAAACAAACCCCGGCGGACTTTCTACCATTCGAAAGGACACTACTCAGAGTACTCATAGTCTTTACGACGACTTGATCGGTCAAGAAACGAGTGTTGCAGACCCCCGCGAAGAAACAAATTTCAACACTCAACACAGAGATCTCTCCATTCCACTCGACAAGGAACTATTCGATATTGCAATAAACCTCCACGGGGAAGCCTAGCCAAAATCGCCATTTTTACGCCTATCTTCTCCACTTCGTTCTTACCTACATTCAACACATCATGAGTTCCTCAAATTCTCACTCAAATCCACCTACATCAACACCAAAATACGTCCCTCCGCATCGCCGATCACCTACATACCATGGCCAGCCTTACCTCACATACGACGACCTACATAGAAGATACTCACCTCCAAATTCACCACGACTCCATATGCCACGTGTGCAGCGCTCTATATCTGCTGAGGATCTTTATCAGCGATTCAACCAATCAAGAGGAGATACCAGGACAACAACAGGAGACGCAGGGCCAAAACTCGCCTGGGATCTCTGTTCCACCCCCGTCCCCACCTCCACCCACTCCACGAGATTTCGAGGCACTCAGAGCAAACCGACATCGGCCAATATCACCACAGTCAGTCAGACAGCCACTCAGACAGCCACTCAGCCCAAGGCTACCAGATCCACCTGTCTTCACGGGCACTAATTCAATATCATTTGATGACTGGAAAATGAGAATCCGAGACAAGCTTACCCACAATGGTGATCATTTCCCCACCGATGCTTTCAAAATTGCCTACGTTGTAGCGAGACTTGGAGGGGAAGCCAGTCAGCACGTGTCTACCAGACGACGATATCGCTCGTACTCTACAGTCGATGATCTTCTAGATCATTTAAGCAACGTGTATGAGGTACCCTTATCCGTTCTTAAGAGTACCTTTGAACATGCTTACGACAAAATAAGCCAAGGAAGTCAACCATTTCTCAAATTCTACGGTGATCTCATCAAATATGCCGAACATAATTTCAAGAATGATAGTCTCAGGAATGACAGTCTGATAAACGATATACGAAAGAAATCGGAACTCCGTTTATGTGACTCAATTAATCTATTGGCAAGGGATTGGACTGTGTCTGAATTAAAGGAACGTATTATGAGAATGCAGCTTCAATATCAACAATCTGCTGAGGAATTCGCCGAAAAGAAGGCCCAAAGATTCGCGGAGCAATACGCAAAAGCAAAGGCCGAGGCTGACGCAAAGAAGGGTAAATACTCGATCATGACTCGCCCTACTTTCAATACAGAGGGTTTAAGTCTTGCTGAGGCAGAGGACCTTGCGGATGAGAACTGGGCTTATGCACAAAAGCATGGCAAATACTTCGAACCCGGTATGGATTTCGACGAAGCATACGAGCTTAGTTGCCAGGGCTTCCTATGAGCGACCCGGCAATACTTCGGACATCGTGTTTTTGGACGAATTGAAACCATCCGATGTCAGAATGGCCTCCTTTTTTCACATCGGGAAACCGATTCCCCAGGCCCATGTTGCTCACCAATAGCCTCATGTCAGGCCCACCAAGCAGGCTCCCCTTGTTGTCATATGCCTGAAGGGCTTCCGAAGCCATAGTGCGTCACCTATGGACCTCACTGTCGCCGTCGATAGCCTCCATCGGTATCGGTTATATGGCATCCCATGGAGAAACTCACTTGATATTGGATTAGAGTTTTAGCGCCTGCGGCTCGGTTCGGTTCGGGAGGCCTCAACCAATCAAATTGCATCATTTCATCGGTTTCTTCTCCATCATAAATATGAAATCAGGTGGCCACCGCATGGCAAATCATTTTTCGGTCATTATCCATTCAATTCTTCATGGATCCTCGTCAAATTGGAAGCCCCTTGACGCTACAATAAAGTGCAAGACGACGCGCTAGCGGAATCTCCGGGACGCGATATTGCTGTCGCCGCCGCCGCCGGAGAAAGGTACTAATTTGGCCTGGCATACTAACACCAAAAGTTCTTTGTTTTTATGGATTTTCAGCGAGCACAAAACATATGCATGCGATGGAATTATTCACTTCTTTCGAAGGCCTACGGCAGGCAGGCTGGAGGGAAAAAAGAAAACTTGGAGAATCTTGCCGATACAAGATGTGGCTACATCTCCGGGATCTCAACCATCTCCAGCCAAGGCCTACACCGACTATGGATGTTTGGAGATACAAGGCAAGCAATGGGCCTGCATCTCCGGTCTACCAGCCATGGGGGCCATGGCTATTTGAGAGGGGGGGGTAGTGTTACGAGCGTACCCTTGACACACCACTCAGCCCTATGGCTAGCGGGCCTTGGCGGAGGCATCCCCTACCATATCATGCCTCCTTCCCACATACATAGTTCGGTAGCCTTATTATCCTAGTTCTACCTCACCCATACTGGTATCGCACCTATGCTGGTCCTGACAAAATTAATATAATTAGTATATATAACAGAATAAGATAGAGCTAAGCTTGAAAACCTTGAATTTGTATGTGCAGCCAATCATAAATTCAGGGTCACTACGCTCTTTGGTTAGATCGGCTGAGTCATCGCGGGTAAATAAATTAGCGTCCGCAACCATCAAAATCTCGCCCTCCCGCGTCTCCCTCATCAAAAATAGGTGTACGTTATTCACGAATAGAATAACTTTTTTGTTTTCTATTGAAATTTTGAGATTTTTTTTTAAATTATGGAGCGTCGTTTGCGATTTCCAAATTTTTAACAATTTTGAAATTTGGTCCTATAGTTATTAATAAGCAAGGAGTCTAAATATCGCTCACCAAAGTTCGCTCGACAGCCGGACAGCCCGCTCACCAAAGTTCGCTCACCAAAGATCGCTCACCTATTTACTCGATAGCCCTAATCAAAAACATGATTATGAATTTAATTCATAGGCCTTTACTCGTCTATAATAATATAATTAGCTATCTCGTATAGCGATATCGATTTATACTCTATTAATATTCTCTCTATATAAAAGAAAAAGTCGAATATTTTATAAAGGTATTAAATAAGTATAAAGGGTGTAAAATAATATAGATATTTATAAATAAAATATTTTAAGACTTTTATCGATTAAAGTATATATAGTAGATAGATTATTCTAATTATAAGAAATATAAATATTATTAATAAGAAGTAGTTAGCTTAAACGAAATACTCTTTAATCTTATCGATCTATATCTTAAATCTAATAACGATAATAAAATACTTATTTAGTTAGATATTCTATAGAAGATTTAGAAGTTCTAGCTTCTAGAGAGTAAAGAGTTATTTCTTTTTAATAATTAGGCGTATAAAGTTATAATGAAAATTATAAGTTTATTTAAAGAGGATAGAT